TAGAAATACAAGCTACCAACTAGATATATTGGTGTTGTAAAATATATTAGTTCAAGCCATCCTTTACAGCATCTTTACAATATTTTGAGGCCCTTTGCACTTAGCCTATCCAAAAACTAGGGAAACCACAAAGGACATCTTAGAGGCAAGGCTGGAAGTGGTACATTGCTTTTAACAGGTAGTCTGCAGTCCAATAAAAAGATTATTCTTTAACAATTAAGTGTATGTATGTGGGTTTGTATGTGAGTATGCACAGATGTGGATGCCTGCAGAGGCCACAAAAGGGTGTCAGATAGAGTAGAGCTAGAGATAGTTAACATGGGTGCTGGTGCCCAAGGGTCTTCTGCCATAGCAGGAAGTGTTTTGCTTTCATCAGTGGAGTCATGTCTCCTGCCCCAAAGATATATTCTTACCACTGTGTTGGGAGCAATGGTTACAAATTCAGAACCAGAATGTCTTACACGTACTTTTATTTTTTATTTTACTTTGTTTTTTTCATGCATTTCACATCATGTATTCCGATCCCACTCATCTCCCTGTCCCCTGCCGTGCTCCCTCTGCCCCTGCAACTGCTTTCCCTAAACAAAACCAAATTAAAGCAAAATATAAAGCAAGCAAAAAAAAAAAAAAAAAAGGAAGAAACCTGAAACCTATTGTGGAAGCTACGATGTGGCCTGTTAAGACACAGAGTTTACCCTTTAGTCTATTTATCTTTACTTGCAAGTGTTCATTGCCATGGATCATTGGGCTGGCTCGAGGCCTCTGGTTCTGCTACACTGATAATGGGCAGTGTTTTGGATCTGTGGGTTCCTCCCCTTTACATGGTCCGACAGTTCATAGATTCAGTGGATGTTGGCATGGACCAACTCATAGCCCTGGTTCTGGGCCTGGGTGTAGAAGGGTTGGTCAGCTCACTCCTAGGTATCCCTCATCTTCACTACATATATGAGCTCTCCAGCCCTGTGTCAGCTAGTTCATCCAATGCAGCCTACAGTAAGGACCAGGGGCCAGTGTTCCTGCTCTTGGGCCACTCATTCCGCCAGGGCCAGCTCTGTTTAATGTAAGCAGGGTGCCAGGCCTTCTCTCCCAATTGCTTATAACTTTGTGTTTAATATAATTACACCATTTCTCTCTTCCTTTTCCTCCCCTCAAACCCTTCTATCTAGCCCTCCCTACTCTCATTCAAATTCAAGGCTTCCTTTTTCACTGTTATTGCATGCCTACATGCATATATTCCTAAATATAACACATTAAGTCCATATCATGTTACTTATATCATGTTACTTATAAGTATGTTTTCAGGGCTGACCATTTGGTACTGGACAACCAATTGGTGTGCTCTTCCCTAAGGAAGACCACCTCTCCTGATCTCAGCTTTCCTCGGTTGCCTCGGTTGTAGGGTTGAGGCTCATGGGCTTTCCCCACCCACTCTGGCATGTCCATTTTTGGTGTCTTTGTTAAGCTCATGTTTGAGCAATCATGCTGATGAGATTTCATGGGAGTAGCTTCTGCTATTACTAGGAGATACCATCTCTGATGCTTGTCTTTCATATTCATAGAACTGGCACATTCTGGATAAGTATCTCAGTAACTTCACTGCTAATACCATTTGTAGCCTGGATTATTACATTACTTTTATCCTGAAGGGTTTATTCCTTCAGTTGTTTATTTATATGCTCATTGAAACAACCACTAATAGGAAAATCACTTGCATCAGCTACTGCTCTGGGTACCGTGGTACACACAAATTGCCTTTATAGTCTTTATAATAGGAATATCCTTTACCTATATTGAATCATGATGGATACACTGTCCCAGAACATAAATACCAGAGCACTTAATAGAATAAATGTGAGGAATTAATTCTGATTATTAGGTAAGGAAGCATTTTCTTAATTTCATTAAGAAATATATTCAATAAAACATTTCTATTATCCCAAAATTGGGTAATTATATTGTAAGTCAGTTGTTTACTAATAATAGTGAAATGGAAGATATTCTTCCAAATTGACTTCCAAATGGAAAATTCTTCCAAATTTTGAACATTGTATCCATAAGAAGCATAAATTTAAACGCACATTTTCTTCATAAATAGTATAAATAACAAGCTTTCATGTTTAAAACCATACTACATAAGAGAATTCTGTAGGTATTTTTTAACTGCTCATTAACGTTTGAGGCTGGTTAATTTCTTGTTGGAATGCTTTGTACAATGTAGTGTCCTAGAAATTAATAGCATTCCACTCCCTATTTTGACAACAAACATGTCTTCAGACAATGCAATAGAAAACAGTGGCCAGAAAAGTAGATGTCTTGGGAGACGGGAGAAATGTAGCAGTTCACTTACTGCTCTTGCAGAGGACCAGGGTTTGGTACTAGGCACTGATATTGTGGCTCATATCGCCCTGTAACTTCAATCCTATGGAAATCTGATGATGACTTTTCTGATCTTCCAGGGTTCCTGCATGGACATGGTTCACACACATCCATTCAGACACACACACACACACACACACACACACACACACACACACACACAGAAATATTTTTTAAATTAGAGGACTGGTATCAAATCACTGTGATTTTGGGCTGGTGAGATGACTCAGCAAGTAATGATGTTTTCAGCCAAGTCTGGCTGCCTGAATTCCTAATGGCCATGAAATCACATGGTAGAGTGATTTTCTGCAAGATGTCCTCTGACTTCTACCTCAACCCCAGTGTCCTCTGACATCTACCCCCACCCCAGAGACACCCAGTGTGTGTGTGTGTGTGTAATTGTGCTCACACAAATAAATAATTTAAACCACTGCAGTCTTTTAATTGTGCCAGACACATTTGTAACAATAGCAGTCACACTGGAAATTACATTGCCATTATTTAAAATAATGATCAAGAACTTTGGCTTGCAGTTTATGATCCATTAGCTAAAAGCATCTCATAGTTTACTGGAAAGGGGAAGAAAAGTACATTAATACTTGCTGATATTTTCCATTCTCTGAGTTTAATACATGTGCCTCTAAAAAGTTTTCTTTTACAAAAATCATAAATCCTTAAAGACTATTTTAATACCTAGAAAATTCAATTGCAAAGAATTTCAGACAGCTGTGGCATGTCATGTCTCTAAATGCTCACTTGACTCTTAGGAGACTGAGGAAAAGTCACTAAAACAAGCTCACCCCTAATATTAGACCTGTTAAACAAATATAAAATTTTAAGCAAAGAACCCCTCAAAGCAACTTGTGTAGAGTAATAACCTTATTTGTTTACACCGATAAAATGATGCCAATAGAATATTTTCGCTTTCTTTGTTTTAAAGCAGTCCCACACACTGTCTAGGATTAAACTGATCTCTGAAGCATGAAGGGTTGTGGAACACAATACACAGGTTAATAATTACTCGCTTCGTTTACAATTGCCAAAGAAGCACAAATGAACCATGCATTCCAAGTCTCCAGTTACTCCAGACACTTCAGAGGAAACCTCACTTGAGCCTTTGCTTATATAACCTATCATACGGACTTGATGGACAAGCTGCATCAAAATCCTGCCACTTGTCAGCCACATTTCTCAGTCACTTTGTATAAGTTTTTAACATCTTAAAATTTGTATTCTGTAGCAGCAGGTAAAAATTACTACCACGTCAAACATATTCCAAGATTTCTTCCAAAGTTGGAATTCTTACATAACAAAGCACAAAACAGCACGAGTCTACATGCTACCATCAAATTCAAAATATTCAGGAAATTGATTCACAATCTAGTATAGATAACTCTTTGTCTCAGTAGGGTTCATCTTTACATGCCCGTTGCTGTGATTTTCCTGTTTGACCTCTAAAACCAAGGCAGTAAAAGTATATTTGACAGCATCCCAGGAGCTAGCTAGCATCAGACTAACAACCAGAGAGCAGTGATAAAAGTTACAAAGTGTTCTAATAGAATCCATTTTGAAGTTACTGCTGAAGAGCCCAGACCTTCTAAAACTTAATGCGCTTTAGGCCAGGTTATTTCTGTGGTGTGGTGTCTGTTTAAGATCATCAGCCAATACAGGTGCCACACCTGAGTGCCCCAGTCCCCAAGGCCATCTCTACAGCAACGCGTCCTGGCAGCTAGACAGGCCAGGGCCCAGCGTGCAAAGCTTTGGGAACCGGGCTCCTCAGGGACCCGCCTGGCGGCGCCGGTGAGGAAGGCTTCTCGACGCCAGGAGCTCATCGTGCCAGTGCTCACTCAGCGAAACTGTAAATAAATGCCTCCGCAGCTGCAACGCCAGTCCCGCAGCGGCCATCCGGCCCGGAACCGCTTGCACCTTCCCGCACCGTCTGCCCAGAGGCCCTTACCGCGGCAGGAAGCGCGCGACCCCAGGCTCCCGCCAGTCAAAAGACCCCGCCCCTGGCCACGCGCGCGCCACACCATATAAGGCCCGGAGCGGGCGGCCCGGCCCCGCCTCCAAGCTCCAGCCCCGCCCTGCTCCGGCCCCGCCCCCAGCCCTGGGCCCCGCCCCCAGCCCTGGGCCCCGCCTCCGCCCGCTCCGGGGAAGAGCGGCTGCGCTCCCGCGGCGCACTTCTGTCCGCCCGGGGCCTTCGCAGAACCTTTCCACCAAGGCCCGCGGCGCGCCCGTCCAGCCCGACAGGCATTCCCGAGTAACCGTTACTGATGGTCTCGGGCTGCCGAGCTGCCCAGCTCCGCCCTCCATCCACCCCCAATGCCCCCCTCCCCGCGAGCCCGCGCCGACGCTTCCCGGCGGCGCGCTCGACCCGCCCCCGGCTCCGCCCCTCGCTCTCGGGCGTGCCCGCGCGTGGGGCCCGCCGCGTCTCCCCCCGCCCCCTCCCCTCGTCCCCCCGCCCTGCTCACACCGTAGCTTCTCGAGTGCGAGGCGCCGGGGCTCCTCACTCCCACGCGCCCGCGCGCCGCTCGCCCGGGACCAGCAGGAGCAGCTCTAGCGTCCCGGGCGGGAGTGCGCGTGCGCGCGGCCGCGGCTCCCTGCTCTCCCTCCTCCCCGCCCCCTCCGCGCCTCTATAACTTGGCGGGCAAGGAGGCGGCGCCCGCGGAGTCGGAGGGCGGGGAGCTCGGAGGAGAGCGCCGGGAGTTGTGGAGACTGCCGACCGGGAAGTCGCGGCGCTCGGTCGGCGCAGCCCGCCCGCGGGCTCCCTCGCTGCCGCCCTCCGTCTGCGCCGCGGGCCTCGGCGCCGTGGGGCGGCTCGGGGTGCGCTCGCCCGCCCCGGCCCCGGCGGCTGCCGCGCGCGGGCGGGATGTGGCGCCTGGTGCCCCTGAAGCTGGGCCGCCTGTCCCGTGCACTGAAGCTGGCGGCTCTCGGCAGCCTGTTGGTGCTGATGCTGCTGCACTCGCCGTCGCTGCTCGCCTCCTGGCAGCGCAACGAGCTCGCCGACCGGCGCTTCCTGCAGCTCAATAAGTGCCCGGCGTGCTTCGGCACGAGCTGGTGTCGCCGCTTCCTCAACGGCCAGGTGGGCTTCGAGGCGTGGGGCCGCCTGCGCCTGCTGGACTTCCTCAACGTGAAGAACGTGTACTTCGCGCAGTACGGCGAGCCCCGCGAGGGCGGCCGCCGGCGCGTGGTGCTCAAGCGCCTGGGTTCGCAGCGCGAGCTGGCGCAGCTCGACCAGAGCATCTGCAAACGGGCCACCGGCCGGCCGCGCTGCGACCTGCTCCAGGCCATGCCCCGCACCGAGTTCGCGCGCCTCAACGGCGACGTGCGGCTGCTCACGCCGGAGGCGGTGGAGGGCTGGTCGGACCTGGTGCACTGCCCCTCGCAGCGCCTGCTCGATCGCCTGGTGCGCCGCTACGCCGAGACCAAGGACTCCGGCAGCTTCCTGCTGCGCAACCTCAAGGACTCGGAGCGCATGCAGCTGCTGCTCACCCTGGCCTTCAACCCCGAGCCGCTGGTGCTACAGGTAGGCGCGGGCCTGGGGCCGTCGCCGCTACCTGGGCGCGGGGCTCTCCGACGCCAGAGGGAGTGCGTCCCCAACTCTCCCAAAATGCCTCTCCGCGACTTTCCTTCCGCCCTCCTGCTGGTCCCAGTCTGGGTGGGTGCCAGTTCCAGCGCGCGCGCTGGAAAGCCCCTCTACCCCTGGTTGCCCTTTCCGAGTGCTAGGGCACTGCGGGCACCTTTCCCTTGCCGTTCCTCCTGGTTAACCTAACTTCCCCGAGTCTTCGCTTTATTTCTTAGCTCATCTCTCTGATAGCAACTCAGCTAGTTCTGGGACCAGGAGATCAGAGTGGGATGGTGGTAAGTGAAGGGGGCCTAATACCTGACTCGTGCTTTGCGAGAATTAGATGCAGGGGGATGAGGAAAAGTTTGTGTTAGATTTGGGCTGCGAGGGCTAAAGGCCAACAGAGTCTTTTGCACCCTGATCCGGTGATCTGCCCCAGTCATATGGTAATCCGGTTAAGGAAGGAATTAAAATGTTTAGGTCAGCTAGGAGCCTGGAGAGGAGGTTCTGGCCTCCAGCCCAACACAGACTTATTTGCTCTCTTCTGACTTTGAGGATAAGAATGCAATCTTTTTACTGGTGGCCGCAAGAAGGAAAAAAGATAAGAAAAAACATCCCGTTTATCTCTGGAGAATTTGTGTTTCTACCCCACCCCCGCCGGCTAAAGTGTTGTGCCCTTGGGCAGGGATTGCAGAGTAGGAGTGTGATCCCTCTTGACTGCAGGAAAAGTTACCCGTTCTGTATGTCAAGTACTAGGGAAAGTGATTTTAAATTACCACCAAATAATTGATTGTATAGTTCACACCCTTTTCCGCTAAGAATGTCACTTATGGCTAGAGGGTTTGGACCGTGTTTTTGTGTTGACTAAACTGTGAATAGGAATGTACTGTATTGATGGCTTTTTTTTTTTTTAACGTTTGCTGCATCCACCTCAGCCTTGATTAGCTCGATTAGCTCAGTCACGTAATCTTAACAGGAATATTTGATCAGATGAAGTTCTAATGTGAGTCTTAATAAAAATTTTAAGTGCTGTTAGGATATATGTGATGGGCCAGTTTTAAAGTTCAAGTTGTTTAATAAATACTGTTTTATCTCTAATCGATAGTAAACAGTGTGTAAAATCGGTTAAGCTTACCTTGGAGAATTACTTTATTCATTACTTTCTAGACTAATGAGTCTCTGAAAGTTGGATCCCCCCCAGCATGACAAACCCTCCCTGTCCCCATACCCCCCCCCCCCAGCTATCGGCAAGGTTGGTGGTCCCTGGTAAAAGCTTAGCAGTGTCGTTGACTGAGTCGATAGTCAAATTCTCTGGGATGCCAAAATTTATCACTGAACTTAAGGTGCTTACAGTTCTTGGATTTAAAATACCGACTGCCTTTTGAACATTTTTTATCAGGTTAATTCTGAGTAGAGCTGTATTAGGAACAACTGATTTTAAGGTTTACATCTCAGAAACACTGTGTTGCTTCTTTATAAGCATTGGCATCTGAACTTGAGGAACTTTGATGTGTAATTTCCACACAGCAGAGCTGCCTCTTCAGGGAGCTTTTGTGCCTGGACAGTCTTGGCAGTTTCAGAAGTGTGCTTGTGTCTTGTTTCCCGACTGACTTCTCCACACTGCTTGTTTTCATCTTTGGTGTGGCAAAAGGTGACATTTTCCTCACTTTATTTGAAACCTATGACACATCGCTCTGGTTGGATGATTAGGTTACCTAGGGTACAGGGTAAACGTAGTATGTGGGGAAATGTGTGCTAGACTGTGGCACTTGTAAATTGCATCTTCAATTTAGACAGCCCAGCCCAGTTTTCAGGGTTAGTAATAATATTTCATTATGCTACATACTCATAAAAGATACTTTTTATTGTTTTTACCAGTGTGATAGCAGCTTTGCTTCCCCCCCCCCCCCAGTGGATCGAGTTTGACCTAAGATCCTGGAGTAGCTGCTTCCCTTACAGAAACACTTGATCTTTGGTAGTGAGCTTGAAAATATGAGTGGTGTGACTGAGAACTGTTGATGACGTAAACCAGTAAGTTGGGAAGTAGATGCACATTTGTACTCGAGTACTGTTTATGTGGTAAATCAGATCCTGATATGAATTGCTGTTAGCTGTGCAGACTATACATTTAGTGGGTACAGTTTCTATGAAGACAGCTGTCTTGATAGTATTAAGATATTGGTGTTGATAGCAAAGTCACTCACAGCTACTTCCTTACCAATGTATACTTCTGCTTCATGTAGTTTTAAGTGTTTTTAAGGAGCTGCTGCTCTGCAGTTTAAAGACCAACTCCACCTTTCAGTATTTTTCCAGGAGAGGGAGCCACTTATCGAATTTTTGGATGCCAGATGACAAAACTAGATTTTTCTTGTTGTTCAGTTATTTCTGGGGGAGGGGGGGCATGTTCTTCACAAAAGTAGCATAATAATAATGCTTCTAAGATAGTTACTTAAAACTCTTCTTTGGTTAAAGTACTAGCAAAAGAAATGAAAATGCAGGTCCATTGAACTCATTAGCTCTTTAGATTTTAAGAAACAGTGAAAAGTGTTGTCTGTGAGATTACACACACATTCTGTTAACTGTAGAGTGTGCTGTCCCTGTTCCAGTGTTCCTGTTGCTTACTGGTTTCACTGGTTAGTCTGGCTTCTAGGAAAGCTGTTATGCAACAGAAAAGACAATTCCCAGAACCTCAACCATGTCAAAAACCGTTTCCTTTACATTTTCACACATCAAGAGGTAAATTCTCATGCCTAGCAGGCCTTTATCCTGTGGAGGGGTTGGAGAAGTACTGGGAGGCTGTTTTTGTTGTTTTTTGTGTGTATAATAACCATCTTGGATCATTAAAAATGGAAGTAGAACATTGGAAGGCGTTCTACTGCTAACTCTTCTGTTGGTATTTGTGTTTGCTGTCTCTTGGAGGGGGGGGGTGTACAGGATGGGGACTGTCTGGAGATGCTGAATCTGAGCCACTGTCTATGACTGACCTAGGGGTGCTGGCAAGTGAATAAAGCCCTTGGTTGTTTTAGGGGGAAGAGCCAAGAATTTGTTTAATTATATTATATTGGTAGAACTTTATTTGCCTTAAATTTTCTGAATCATGTTTTTAATGGGCTTTAATTTTTATAGTATGCAATTATCATTGTTCAAGCTGTGGCTTTTAAGCTTTCTGAATACTTATAAAAGGCAAAATGTATACAGAGCATTTGTGTGGGGCTTGATGCATGGTAAAGAGTGAATAAATGCTAGCTAGCATAAGGAAGGAGGGTGACTGCCATCACCTAGTGCATTTGGTCAGCTACCGGAAATACTGTTGAAGTGTGAATGCTGACAGACTGAGCTATACTGAGCTCATCTGTCCTGACAGAGCCAATGGAATTTGGTAGAGAGCATTCAGTAGTGTTCTGGCCTTGGCAGCAGCCTGTGTTCAGAAGGATATACTTCCAAGTGCCTTGTTGAAAATACGTTTTTGAAGTAGACAAAGAGGATTATGATTATTTAGATAAAAGTTAGGATAAATTGACAAGCATTATTATTTTTTTTTATAAGAGTAACTTTCTTTTTTTCTAATATGGATCTGTTGAGTTAGGTAATTTGATTCTACTGTGTTGGGGGACTTTCAAATTCTGGGTTTGAGAAGTTTGTTTTTCTTTGTTGCTGTTGTTTGTTTTCTGAGTTTACCTTTGACTAATAGACTTAATTAATCTCTTCTAAAAGAGGATTGGAGGACTGGGGTACTAGGTGTCTGCTAGGGTGTGAGCTCAAGGCCAAAGCACATAGTCTTTGAAGCTTTTCTTCCTATCTCTAATACTACACACAAGTAAACAGATTTCAAAACAAAAGCAGAAATCCTTTTAAGGAGCAGAAAACCATAGAGCCCTGCATCTTGTTTAGCAGTAGTTTCTACAATAGATGTTTTCTCCTTTGGAGATTTCAGGCAGTAGTCTGTGGATCCTCCTTCATTGTCTCTCTCTGGCAGCTGATTTTAATAACTGGATTACTGTATTTAGGCTTCAGATCACGTTAGAAGTTGATGCTTTGTTTCTTTTGGTGCTTAGCTCAGTCTTCCTGCTTCTGCCCCCAGTGCTAGACCTGCAGCTGTGCATCACACACCCTGACAGGTGGAGGGAACACTTTTTAATCTTAGGTTCCTAAGCTTTTGAATCTAGCCTGTGTGCTTCATCAACATGTGTGACACTTGACTAAACTTCATGAAACTACAAGCAAAAATAACAAAAACAATTTGGTATACCTCAGGTTCAAAACTAATTATCTACTATCTGTCTGTCTGTCTGTCTGTCTAAATTAGGAAAGCCAGTGAAACAGATACCATTAAGGAAGCATCATTTTATATATCTTGTACATGGAGTTAGTCTGTGTTTCTTACACTTGTTGCTGGATATAGTAATCTTTTGTATTTGTTGTTGCTTACTCTGCTTGCTGTGGGTTGGATTCTCTGGTCTTGGATGGCCAGTTATTTTTCCTGGGGATTGTCAGGCTGGTTTTTGTTCAACTTTTCTACCTTGTTTTCTACTTTGTCTCCTGTGGCCTATGTTACTGTCATTGATTGCTTCTGAGTTTTACAGAATGCCTACTTTTATTCTTGTACTATCTACTCATCACCTGTATAATGAATTAATAATGGCACGAGAATGTGAAGACTTAGATTTCTTATACATACAGTGAATTTTAAATGGGTATAAAATATCTTAAAGACTGAAAAGTATGACTCTAAGGTGGGCTGGATAGTTATCCATGCTAGTTATAATTCCTGCAAAATTTTTATTGGCCGTCAACTCTTGGCATCTTCCTATCCTACCTCCCAAGTCCTGAGATTATAGGCATGCATCACCAAGTCTGGTCTTTGGAAAGTTTTAGAAGTTATATATTGAAATAATTTATCCAATTTATAGGTTGCAAAGAGGAGTTATCTGTGAGATATTATAGAGCTTTTTAGAATTGCA